TAAATAATTTTAAAACGTTTTTGTAATGTAATATCTGGAAAATCTTCTGAAAAGTTATCTTATTATATTCTAGATGCATTGTTTATTTACAGATATTTATATTGATTGGTTACTGAGATATTGCGGAGCTAGAAAAAAAAGGCCACCCCGCAAAAAAAATATTTTTAGGCCCCCATATATATATATATATATATATATATATATATATATATATATATATATATATATATATATATACCGTACGAACATAGGATACTTATTGCTGGCCTATTCGGGTTTTGAAAATAAAATGTTTTTTTTTTTTCAATTTTTAAACAAACTACAACATCATGTCATGTGTGTGAGTGTATTAGTATGTTTTGTAAAAATCTGTTTTATTTTACCTTTGCTACAAAACCTCTTAACCGCTGGTCGGTCAAAAGAATATAAAACATGAACGTTTTGTATAAGTAATGGTGTCTCATGTTATGTTTATTTTAATGTTTTTTTAAATTTATATTATTAATTTTAAATACATATCCTTCTTATACAATTTTATTTCTTAGTAAGTACTTTATAAAAAAAATTATAATTTAGTAAAGTAATTACTTTTTAATTTTTTCAGTACAAAACTATTAAAAAGAGCTTATTAGCACCCCCTTTTTGACTATTTGAAAAAGGGAAATAATCATGGTAGTGGTTTGAACTTTGCTTATCTTAGATTGTATGAGAAAGAGGACTCGGCTTTCACGGTGGTTTTAAAAAAAAGGGAAAAAGAATATGTAAAAGCGTGGGGTGGTGTCTATAGAATGAAGATAATCCAACCGCAGCTACGGTAATCTTTTTTTACAAAAGAACCATAGAGTAAAATGTTTATGAAATTTCATTAAAACGCCATTTATTTGGGTGATCCTGTGAAAATTTTTACCCTCATAATTAAAGTATATGTATAACATACCGATATCTTTGCTTTAGTTGTATTAATTCTTGACGTCTGATTGGTGAAAGACATGACCTAAATACCATGCGCTATGGATGTGACATGTGACTTCATGACATGCTACATTACATGACGTCAAATATATATGACTTGACTGTAAAGAGCAGACACCAGTTTGTACAACTTGTTTACTTAGAATGTAAAAGTGACACATTTATCTGGACAACAAAACCAGCTCTTCTAACAAGAGAAAACTGTTTTACGCACCAAAGTTTCGTGTCTATTGTAATCGGATACTCACAAAATTCGCCCTTCAAATCGCGAAGGGCATGATATTTAATATAGTAGATCTATATAATCAGCTTATATAATCTACCGGCATGATGGCTGAGCAAGGTTGGAATAATCTACCCCAGCATATTTTGTTGCAAATATTCCAAAAATCTTCTCTCGACACTATTGGAGCCTCAGCTCAGGTAATGTTAGTTATAGAACTACAATCTATAGACAGTAAATTGTTTTAATTTCTTAATGTTAGACTTGTGGTGTTGAGTAGTAGCATAACATAACACTTTACTTTTGATTTGTATTTGTTGTTATTGTCAACATGATTTGTGATGTTTACAATGAATAAATAAATCAATGGGCACTAACTGAGTTAGAAAATGAAACCAAACACCATTATTTGTTCTTATAGCTGAGATTTTTTTTGTCTGCTATTAAAAACTACCGGTATACACCGCCCCCCCCCCCACACACACACAATAAGAGGCTTTGGAGGGGTCACTGTGAGTTCACAGTAGCCCAGTCTAATACGTCATAGCTTGAACTACGTACTTGGGGTCACGGTCAGTTCATACAAGTTCAGATATCAGTGACCTTAGTGCCAAGGAGGGGCGGGTTATTCTGGCCCTAATCGTCAGCTTTTACAAAGATTTCAAAAACAGTTTGGAGAGTGAATACAAAATACAGGTCGTTACATTATACGTAGACTACCACTTACAGCTTCCCTCATATTTTTAATAAGACTACCTACCTGCAACCTCAGACAAAGGAACAATAGCGGGTAAAAAAAGGTCAAGATTTGTATAGTAATGTATAGTCGATCATTCTTTCATTAAATAACAATTTAATAAAGCAGTATTAACCACGCAATTAGTTTAGGCTGGTTGCTACATGCGTAGTTTAGGCTGGTTGCTACATGTGTGGGTTAGGTTGGTTGCTACATGTGTGGGTTAGGCTGGTTGCTACATGTGTAGGTTAGGCTGGTTGCTACATGTGTAGGTTAGACTGGTTGCTACATGTGTGGGTTAGGCTGGTTGCTACATGTGTGGGTTAGGCTGGTTGCTACATGTGTGGGTTAGGCTGGTTGCTACATGTGTGGGTTAGGTTGGTTGCTACATGTGTGAGTTAGGCTGGTTGCTACATGTGTGGGTTAGGCTGGTTGCTACATGTGTGGGTTAGGCTGGTTGCTACATGTGTGGGTTAGGCTGGTTGCTACATGTGTGGGTTAGGCTGGTTGCTACATGTGTGGGTTAGGCTGGTTGCTACATGTCACATGTGTGTTTAGGCTGGTTGCTACATGTCACATGTGTGTTTAGGCTGGTTGCTACATGTGTGAGTTAGACTGGTTGCTACATGTGTGTTTAGGCTGGTTGCTACATGTGTGAGTTAGACTGGTTGCTACATGTGTGGTTTAGGCTGGTTGCTACCTATGTGGGTTAGACTGGTTGCTACATGTGTGAGTTAGACTGGTTGTTACATGTGTGAGTTAGACTGGTTGCTACATGTGTGTTTAGGCTGGTTGCTACATGTGTGAGTTAGACTGGTTGCTACATGTATGGTTTAGGCTGGTTGCTACATGTGTGGGTTAGGCTGGTTGCTACATGTGTGGGTTAGGCTGGTTGCTACATGTGTGGGTTAGGCTGGTTGCTACATGTGTGGGTTAGGCTGGTTGCTACATGTCACATGTGTGGGTTAGGCTGGTTGCTACATGTCACATGTGTGGGTTAGGCTGGTTGCTACATGTGTGGGTTAGGCTGGTTGCTACATGTGTGGATTAGGCTGGTTGCTACATGTGTGGGTTAGGCTGGTTGCTACATGTGTAGGTTAGGCTGGTTGCTACATGTGTGGGTTAGGCTGGTTGCTACGTGTATGGGTTAGGCTGGTTGCTACATGTGTGGGTTAGGCTGGTTGCTACATGTGTGGGTTAGGCTGGTTGCTACATGTGTGGGTTAGGCTGGTTGCTACATGTGTGGGTTAGGCTGGTTGCTACATGTGTGGGTTAGACTGGTTGCTACATGTGTGGGTTAGACTGGTTGCTACATGTCACATGCGTGGGTTAGGCTGGTTGCTACATGTGTGGGTTAGACTGGTTGCTACATGTGTGGGTTAGGCTGGTTGCTACATGTGTGGGTTAGGCTGGTTGCTACATGTCACATGCGTGGGTTAGGCTGGTTGCTACATGTGTGGGTTAGGTTGGTTGCTACATGTGTGGTTTATGTTGGTTGCTACATGTGTGGTTTAGGCTGGTTGCTACATGTGTGGTTTAGGCTGGTTGCTACATGTGTGGGTTAGGCTGGTTGCTACATGTGTGGGTTAGGCTGGTTGCTACATGTGTGGGTTAGGCTGGTTGCTACATGTGTGGTTTATGTTGGTTGCTACATGTGTGGGTTAGGCTGGTTGCTACATGTGTGGGTTAGACTGGTTGCTACATGTGTGGGTTAGGCTGGTTGCTACATGTGTGGGTTAGACTGGTTGCTACATGTGTGGGTTAGGCTGGTTGCTACATGTGTGGGTTAGACTGGTTGCTACATGTGTGGGTTAGACTGGTTGCTACATGTGTGGGTTAGGCTGGTTGCTACATGTGTGGGTTAGACTGGTTGCTACATGTGTGGGTTAGACTGGTTGCTACATGTGTGGGTTAGGCTGGTTGCTACATGTGTGGGTTAGACTGGTTGCTACATGTGTGGGTTAGACTGGTTGCTACATGTGTGGGTTAGGCTGGTTGCTACATGTGTGGGTTAGGCTGGTTGCTACATGTGTGTTTAGGCTGGTTGCTACATGTGTGGGTAATGCAGGTCGCTAAATGCCTTTATTATCTTTAAGGTGTGCCATTCTTGGAACTCAGCAACAAAAAGCGCATCACTGTGGCGGTCCATCAAACTGGTCCTGGACGCCAGAAACCCGAAAGAATCCGGTTAGAGATATAATTAGTTAAAAATAGAGATTTTGAAAGTTTATTTATTTATTTTACAAATCAACATAGGAATTATGATGAAATATCTCATTTATGTTTATTATGTTTATTATGTGTATGTGCAGTGTACGTCTACGTCTACGTGTACGTGAAAGTAAATAGATAAAAAATAATATATATATATATATATATATATATATATATATATATATATATATATATATATATTTATAAGGAAGGTCGTGGTTGTTCGTCACGCTGTTACGATATAATGTACTTTTATTGCAAAATAAATATGTTTATAAAATTGGCTAATCCGAGAGATCTCCGCTCTATATCAGTAGATTAAGAATTATATATATATATATATATATATATATATATATATATATATATATATATATATATATATATATATATATATATATATATATATATATATATGTGTGTGTCTGTGTGTGTCTGTGTGTATATATATATATATATGTGTACGTGTACGTGTACGAGTACATGTATGTGTACGTGTATGTGTAAGCGTATGCCTATGTGTATGAATATGTGTATGTATATATATATATAAATATATATATATATATATATATATATATATATATATATATATATATATATATATATATATATATATATATATGTTCTTAATCTATTGATATAGCACGGAGAGCTATTGCTCTTGCTCATATATATATATATATATATATATATATATATATATATATATATATATATATATATATATATATATATATATGTTCTTAATCTATTGATATAGCACGGAGAGCTATTGCTCTGACAAATAAATGTGCAAAAAACATGACAAAGTTAAGAGTTGAGTACATACAATGTTTCGATTGCATCAACAACATGTTTATGCTGAAGACACTGAAGACAATGTTTGAGATATTGTCCAGAAGTAGGCCTAATCTCAAAGTGTTTGAACTGAAGGGACTATACCAGTACGACCCGAAAAACACCGAAATGACAGCTTTTGTTACGGCCGTGAACACATTTCTGGAGCAGCAGAAAAATCTGGAGGCAAGTGTTGAATCATTGTCATATCTCTCTTTTACATCTCGATTGGCGAATTACATTTTGACACATGTAATATTTACTTAACTGTGTTGGAGAAATTCCGTCCAACATTACAATTGAGATCGAAGAAGAAATATATATATATATATATATATATATATATATATATATATATATATATATATATATATATATATATATATATATCGGTTAAGATATAAATATTCTCATGAGAATGAAGGAGAAAAAGATATCGGTAAAGATATGAATATAGATATTGGTATAGATACATAAACAGACACAGACACTGATACGGAAACAGAAACAGTTGTAGTTATTGATGTAACTTTAGATCAGGGGTCTCCAAAACATTTCAGTCCAAGGGCCGCATTAACTGTCAAATTTCAGTTCGGGGGCCAGTTTCTTTCAGGCATGTCTTTGGTTTTTCTGGGCAAAGTTCCTCAGCCATCACCAATAAACGTTTTTTCCGTTGACAAAAAGATCTCCGCGGGCCGGATGAGAGGACCTCGCGAGCCGCATCCGGCCCACGGGCCGTAGTTAGGAGACCCCTACTTTAGATGATTACACTTTGATTACAGTCATAAATAAAGGATAATAACGTGAATACAATTTAAAAAATGTATTCTACACAATTTTCAAATAGGTGTGAAAATTAAAACATATCTAATAACTGATATTTTAATAGACGTTTTGCAACACCTGTTAAGTCCGCTTTTTGAAAAAAAATTATGTAGCCTTCTTTGTAATGTGTTTACTTATAGAGTATACTCATTGTTGTACCCTACATATCATTTATCGAACTAACTTATTTTTTTTTTTACATTAAGATGGTCAACTAATTTCTCCCGCTGTTTATAATATATTTAGCTTTTCTACTACAAATCAACGCAACTCTATCACGAATATATTCCGAGCTACGTAACTAAAAATCTATTTAACTGTAACTCCAATCTTAGACATCAAACGTCTAACTCTTCGACTATTACCTCAGTTGTCCTACTGCCGCTATCTACTGCATAAGCGTCATCTCGTTTATTGTTGGTCGGGCTATACGTCTTTTGACGTTCTTAACTACTGACCAATGACTAACCTAATCTATCCTAAATCATATCCTTAACCTTTATATAGTTGTTTCCTAAAGTTTCGTCACCAAAAGTACCCAGTTTTTTTTTAATTTAGCGGAGTTCATTTTTAAAATTCAGCTACTTTATGATCAATCACGTTAAACTTAACAAGTGTTTGTGTTTCTAGCTATACAACTCTTCATTGTTTCCTTAGCCCATTGCTTCTATTATACACAATGAAGTGTTTGTTTTTAAAATCATTCCACAGAAGTTTTCAATGGAGGGCACATTCATTGAACTAAAGTTTGTGCAAAAATTCCTAGAAATTCTAGGCTCATCTTCAGGGGAGAAAATGAAAATAATTGTGCTCAGGGATGAAGACTATTTCTTTACTAACAGACCGATTGATGGTTTCGATACCGTCTTAACAGTAAGTCATTTCATTTTTTATGTCCATAAAGTAATTTTACGTTTTTATTATACATTAATATGTTTTCTTCTCGGGTTTAATTATCCTAATTTATAAAAGCCCAATGTGCGCACATCTCTCTCTCTCTCTCTCTCTTTCTCTGTCCGCAAAAAATTTTCGCCGGACATCACGTCAGAATCGGCAGCGATATATCGAGAATTTTTTACGGACTTTTGTTGAAAATAATATGTTAGATGTTTTAAATGTATAACCACAATTTTACTTAAAGAAGAAAAATAAAAATTTAAGGCGTATTCGAATGTAGAGAAACAGTATTATTTATGCAACCGGAAAAGCATTAATATATGTGAAAAAGAACGCATAAAACTGTGACGTCACTATTGCTTATACATTAACTAATGACGTCATCTGCCGTGTTAAGAATGAAAAGAAATGAACTATTTCATTCAAATTTGATTTAGATCTACGTACACTATGAAATGTATACAATACAATTTTTCCGGCCTAAACTCATAAAATTTATTTTATGTATTTGGATTCTAGATCTAGAGATTCTAGATCTAGACTAAATCTAAATCTAAATCTACGCAGTAACTAGATCTAGACGTAGACGCTAAGATCTAGATTTAGACTCTAACTTCTCTAAAATCAATTCCAAAAATAAATGTCTATATTAGGACTAAACTATTTCAAGACTTATTTATTTTATACAAAATCTTTGTTTGGAACTGGCTAATTTGGGATAAAAAATTAATTTGAAAGAATAGGCATATTCGCGTAAGTTAAGATTTTAAAATACGTGTTTCATTCTCCGTATTTTATAAGGTGCCTAAATAGCGGAGATGTTAGTGTACATTAAACCACGCAGGTGGTGCGGGTTCGAGACACAGCAAGTCAACTTGGTTAATGTATTCTTTTTTATTATGCTCGGGCTAAATTTTAAAAAAAAATTCTTTTAGGAATCTAGATCTAGATCTAGATTGTCGGGTGTCCGATAGGGCACTTCCCGGCGCCGCAGGCGCTTCAAATTTGGCATGATCTTGCCTTGGTGCGACAGAACACGGGGGCCGGTTGGCCGAAAAGTCTACGATGTGGGGGTCAAAACTGACCTCGACTGACCGGTACCTTATATGAGCTATAAATCGAAAAAAAATGTCCACGGAGGAACCTCTTCATAACTCTTGAGGTCGTAGACCGACCTTCGGGCGAATTAATTAAGCATTCAAATTCTCAATGTTTTCGAAAGCCTAAGCGAAGCTGGGCAGCATGCCTAGTGTTTCAATAGTACTCAGTATTTGATCTTCCATAAAGTTGGTTATGTTAGATATTTTAGCAAGTGTAAATTGTAGAAGGAAGTGTTTGTAAATTTCCATGAAATTGTAAGTTGGGTTTTAAATTATTGTATAGTTTTTGCATTGTATTTTATTATTTAGACTTGTTTGCTTTTTAGAAGTTTTTAGGTTGATTAAAAGTTCTATTAGTTTTAGAAGGTCTTTGTATTTATATTTAACCCTAGACATTAGATTTCGAGTCTACGAAGAGTTTTTGTTTCTAGTAATCATTTATAGATTCGTATAGTTCACCCGTCTAGAACAATCCCAAAATAATCCGGGTGCTACGTGTGATAAATCAGTAGTAGGAATACGTAACAACCAATTGTTTATTTAACTAAGGACAGAGTTTCTTCCAGGCATCTCTTCGGGGGGGGGGGGGGGGGCGAAATTTTTTTACCGCCCCCCCCCCTTGAACGAACAGAAATTTATATAATTTATATAGAAAATATATACTTTTAACAGTGTCCGCCCCCCCCCCCCCCCACCCCCGAAGAAAGTCTACCGCCGGAGAAAAGTCTGGAAGAAACACTGACTAAGGAATCAGCTAAACACAAGTCTCCAGCTTTTAAAACCCGTAAAGAGGAAATTAACTTCAAACTTATCAAAGGTCGGATTAGTATATTAGTATGTTGCCGTAATCGTCAGAAATAATGTCGAATTTGTTTTCATTTTATGATTTTAAATATTAGACACACGAATCTCCCCTCTCTAGTGCATAAAGCAAGGCTAATGATTTCAAGCATAGATTTTGAGAGTGTCACATTGTGACCATCTAGCTTGACCGTTAAAATCAAATCTTCTTGGCTAATGAGTTTTTGCCAGCTAGTTCACTGCTCTAGCTGTAGCGTACGATTTAAATATCATTGCTCAATTGATAAAAGTTTTATGTGTTTTGTGTCCAGAAGTTTAGAAACTTACACAGACTTGATATTGGATACATCAACCAACAATTGATAGAAAACCTATCAAACAGTCTTGGGATTAATTTCACACAATTGTTTATCACTGTCCACGGCCTAGAAGGTAAAGTACTGAGCAGAAAGTCTTATATTAATTCTAAAATTCGTTCATTGTAGTTAGAGAATAACCAGTGGCGGAACTACAAAAAAGACCCCCCCCCCCCACGCAAATTATTTTTTGCACTCCTATATATATATTTGCTATTGTATTCGAATTTCACTAGAATGCTTGTGGATACATGTTATTTTTTTGTTTTTCTGTGAGCTGGTCACATACACATATCCAAGTGAGAAGCACGGACTCTGGAAATCTAGTCCTACACACCGAACTAATGTAGTTTTTTAAAATGAGGTTTTCACTTACGCGTTATCAATCGTGTGTTCATTTTAGACGTTTGTCTTGTTCTCCAAAACAGTTGTATCTAAATGTAAACAATGTCAGGTGTTCTAAGTTGTTGGGGCGCTAATGTGTCCACCGAGATGCCCCAGCTTAGCAGGTGCAATGATAGCCACTGGGGATTTCGGGGCGCTCAACTACACATTTCCATGGGAAGCCGTCCCTCCAATATTTAAACAAATATTAGACCTGTGTCAGAAATCATTGCGAGGGTGTATTCAAAAACTTTACAAATTTTCATTACGATAGCTTGAAGAGAGTAGTATTGCATAAAAGACAGACACACGATGTTCACATGTACAGCTGTATGTGGCCAGCTCACGCGGAGGAAAACTGAGTTAGGGGACATACATAAATGACGTCATACTTTTTTGACGACTCACAAAAGGCCAGAACCTCACCCCTAAATGACGTCATTAAATTAACAATATTAATTGATAAATAATGATATATATATATATATATATATATATATATATATATATATATATATATATATATATTATATATATATATATACTTTTTTTCATAAAATTAGCAAGCATTAGCGACACGGCATGGGTGGCTCTAAAAAAATCATGTCCTGATCTTGTGGTGACCTTTCGTGTGACTAGTGGGTTAGGTATTGTCCTATTGACGCCAAGCATCCCCTTGATCAGCCTAACAGTAGCAGCGCCTCTCTCACACCAGGTAAGTGTTGACACACCGGCACGCAAGCACACACACACCCACACTCATACACACACACTCACACTCATACACACACACTTACACACAAACATACGCATACACACCGATACACTTGACCACGCATACACATACACACTAATACACCTACACACTCATACACGGTGCGCGGACCTTTGACCACAGGTGCTTTGACCATAGGGGGTTTGACCATAGGGGCTTTGACCACAGCGGAGCTTTGACCATAGGGGCTTTGACCATAGGGGGTTTGACCACAGCGGGGCTTTGACCATAGCGGTGCTTTGACCATAGGGGGTTTGATCATAGGGGGTTTGACCATAGGGGGTTTGACCACATGTGTTTTCTCAGCAGATGGGGTTTTTGATCACAGGTGGTCTACCAACTGGTGTCAGATCACAAGCGCTGTGTCCGGCTTTGATCATAGGTGTGATACAATTAACACGATTTTATACATGTTTCCTGAGAGTACGTTAATAGAAATTAACATGTATTTAAAAGAAGCCAAGAACTATATTTTAGTCTCCACATAAAGGCTGGTGCTAGGAAGGATAAAAGGATAAAAATGATACAAAACTTGCCAACAATATAGTCAAAGATGTAATACATAAAATGGTTAACTAAATGACAGATGTGCTATAGCACGCAAATATGTCAATACATCTGTTTGACCATATGTCTGGACAGCACGTTGTACTTTTTCGTGCAGCATCTTGTATCGCTTCGCAGCTGGGTAGCTTGCCCCTGCGACACCTTGCAAGAAAGTTGTCTTTTGCCGTGTGCAGTCCATCTGTAGACCTTCAAGGAAACTATTGAAGCTTTGCACTTACAAGTGCGATTCTTCGTACACCGCCAAACGCTTGACCCGTCCTGGCGTTCTCTGTGTAGCCAAAACTCGTGGCCACGATACAACAAAGTTCTTTTACCTTTTTTCGACGTGCTATACTCTCCAAGATTCTCCATGGTTTTGACATAGAGTAGTTTAGATTACTTGTTTTTTATACATGATGATTTAACTTATTATTACATCATGTCGAAATTTAAAATATAATTTAGCAACTTTTAAAATAAATCCTTACCATATATGGACAGCATTGGACAAACCACCTGAGATCAAAGACCCTATGTGGACAAAACACCTGAGATCAAAGACCCTATGTGGACAAAACACCTTTGATCAAAGCCGGACACAGCGCTTGTGATCAAACACCAGTTGATAGACCACCTGTGAACAAAGACCCTCTACTAAGAAAACACCTGTGGTCAAACCCCCTATGGTCAAACCCCCTATGATCAAACCCCCTATGATCAAAGCACCGCTATGGTCAAAGCCCCGCTGTGGTCAAACCCCCTATGGTCAAAGCCCCTATGGTCAAAGCTCCGCTGTGGTCAAACCCCCTATGGTCAAATCCCCTATGGTCAAAGCACCTGTGGTCAAAGGTCCTAGGACCTCATACACTTACACACTCATACACACTCATACACATACACACTCATAAACTTACAGACACATATATACACACTCATACACTTACACGCGCATACACTTACATATTCATACACTCATACACTTACACACATATACATACACACTCATAAACTTACAATATAAACACTCATACATTTACACACGCATACACTTACAAAGTAATACACATACACATACACACTCATACACTTACACACTCATACACACTCATACACACATATATTTTTGTATAAGTATATATACAGGGGTGGGCTGGCACACTGTTCTATCGGGAAAAATCCCGTGGGCTTCCAAGAAAAAAAAAACTCTGGGTAGACCCCAGAATTGTAACAGTCTTATTAATTTCTTTTTTCATTGTTAAAAAAAAATGTTGGAATTTCTCTATTTTACAACTTCCATTACTTTATAACAAAGCGTAACATTCGGTCTCTTTGTGAGACATAAAAACGCTCAATGAAAATTTCAATCTTGGGGCAGTCTCGTAACAAACATGTAGCCAAGGTGGACAAAGTTTACAGATCCCGGATGTCCAAGGGACCCTGATCGCACCCGCTTTATTTATTCTTAAATATTTTTTTACACGTTTGTTATCTCATTTGTTTGTTTATTTGTATGTTTGTTGGTTTATTTATTTAGTCGTTTATTTATTTAATCATTTATTTTAATTTAATTGTTTTTTATGGATAGAGAAAAAGATCTAATTAATGTCTCTCTACAGTTTGAAATTGCAAACATAGCAACGCTGTACCAGCATACACTGGAAGAACTTCATATAGAATATCATTTAGGAGAGCAAGAACTATTTGAAGATTTTTGTAAACATTTAGCTTCATTTCAACGCTTACGGAAGTTTTCGATGTCCATGAGGATAAAAACAGAAGCAAACGTAACTGTCTAACTACTAGTCTCATTTTATTTTCTTATTTTCAGTGCATTTCACTTCGGTGCCCATATATATATATATATATATATATATATATATATATATATATATATATATATATATATATATATATATATATATATATATATATATATATATATATATATGTGTGTGTGTGTGTGTGTGTGTGTGAGTGAGTGAGTGAGTGAGTGAGTGAGTGAGTGAGTGAGTGAGTGAGTGAGTGAGTGAGTGAGTGAGTGAGTGAGTGAGTGAGTGAGTGAGTGAGTGAGTGAGTGAGTGAGTGAGTGAGTGAGTGAGTGAGTGAGTGAGTGAGTGAGTGAGTGAGTGAGTGAGTGAGTGAGTGAGTGAGTGAGTGAGTGTGCGTGCTTGCGTGCGTGTGTGCGCGCGACAGTCCGGAAAATAATTATGGTGGGTGATTTTCGTTCCCTAAAACTTTACTCGACGCCAATTCAACTCCCCTTAAGATGCGTTTTCCTTTTAAAAATATTAACGTCAGAAAAAAAAATAAGCCTAGGGGGTCATCAATAAATGACCTCCCCCCTCCCCTTCGTCACACATCGTGGCACACCCTCCCCCCTAAAATGACGTCACACCTCAGCCTACAACCCCCCCTTCAAAATTGCAGTTGAATTTTTATTTTATAAGCAATAAAGTTTATCTACTTAGCTATCCCGTGTAAATCCTTCCGATTTTGGTCGGCGAAAAACCAACCATCCTGGAAAAGCTAGAAAGCGGTGTTTGCCGGTCACTGTTTCCTAAGGGTATTTGTTTTATAGTTACACAATCAAGGTAGAAAACATTTGAAACAAAATGTAAAGGCTTGTAGCCGTTAAATTTCTTAACTATGATAGTTCATAATTCAAAACTGAAGCTTAAAATGAGCTTTTATATTTTTAATTTTTCTACCCCTTTTGGCGCCCCTTCGTGTCAGCCCCCCTGGCTGGTGGTTATTACTTTGTTTTATATTTGTTTCATTTTTCACAA